TGGGAAAAAGAAATACATCTCAGCCCAGCATCCATGGGTACTCAGTTGCTAAATGCCATCACAGAAGTGATAGGAGGGCAGAGAAGGGGCAGGACACTGGGATTGGAGTATTGTGGAAGGCTTCACAGGAAAGGGAGGAAGATGGGGGGTTTGGGTTTTTTCTTTTTTGCTGAGGGAAATTCGCCTTGAACTAACTTCCATGCCAATCTCCCTCTATTTTTTAGTAGGTGGGCCACCAGCACAGCATGGCTGCTAACAGAGCAGTGTAGGTCTGTGTCTGGGAACTGAACCCAGGCCAGCAAAGCGGACAACACCGAACTTAACCACTAGGCCACTGGGGCTGGCCCCCGAAGGTTTTTGATTTAGAAGACTAAAGAGTAACCTGCATTATAGAAATCAACAGACTATGGTTTGGTCATATTCCCTCTTTACAGTCTACTTCACACGTTCTCATGACAGTTCACTTCCTAACGCTGTTGAGCTTCAAGAGGGAATAACACAAGGAAGGCTGATTTGGTCATTTTGGCGAGTCCATTGTCCATGCAAGATTGTTCCCTCTATGCTTGTACAATTACTTCCAGGGCCCGGAGAGGCTGCCAGAGACCTCTACCCCTACTCCCCTTTTTACATCTGTTTTTTTTTTTCATTGCTAGTCCCTCTGTCAATTTTAAAATTTATCTTTAGTTATTTTTATTTTTTAATAGAAAATACATTCAATCATTCATATTCAAAAGAAATAAAAAGGTATACAATAAAAATCTCCCTCCACCCCTGTCCCCAGCCACCCAGTTCCCAGACCCCAAAGCAAACAATGTTACTTTGTTACCACTTATTTGCATGTACTTCATAATTTCTGCATAAACACACATTTATTTTTTCTTTTACTCCAAGGATAGCATATAAAATATTGTTCTGCCTTTCTCTTTTTTCCATGTAACTTTTCTTGGGAAAATTCTATATTGGTATATAAAAAGCTTCCTTGCCTTTTTTTTAATGACTGGCACAGATAGTTTTTAATCCTTCAGATAACTGTGGAATTTATCATGAGATCACTTGTCAGCATGAGTACCTAAAAGGCCAAATTTTCTTTCCGTGAATTTAGGAATAGGAGCCCTTAAGCAGCACCATTTGTCAAGAAATGCCCTTTTTTCCAGGATTAGGGGTTTCGTTTTCGGCGTAGGTATTTTGATTCAGATAAAGAACACAGGCTCACGGACCTGATGGTCTCACAGGGTTGCAGCCTTGTGCTGAATATGTCACTGGCCCCTGGCTGCTCCAGTCGGCTCACAAAGGAGTTCACAGCAGGGGCCAGGTAAAAAGTGATCGAAACTACGGACTCTGAACACCAACATGCACTCTGAAACACCATCATCGGTTTTAAGCTGAACCTGATTTGCTAAATCCTAAACTGTACTCCAAGTTTTTTTTTTTTAAAGATTTTTCTCCCCAAGGGAACTATTTTGAATAAAAAGCTAAAACTTCGCATTTTCTAAAACTATCAGGTTGAATAAAAGTAGAACCACCAAGTTGTCCAACCAAACTCACTCTACACCAATATTTTATTTGATGCAGGGCATGGTTGCTCCAAAAGCCACTCAGACATTAAACTCAGCTCCCAGAGTGAATGCATTGGCCATCATTCAGCAATGTCTACATGTGGCATGAGGTCACGGCGGAGACACTGGACATCGAACACCACTGCCCCTCTTCGTCCTAGGCCCCAAGTACATATTTTGGAGGTGTAAAAGCAGCAGACATCAATAAAATCATTATTAATTTGGTGAACAAAAACAGAATTCTGAGCTGCCTTCTTCAGAAGTTCCTGGTAAGAGCTACAGGACAACTTCCTAAACAGGTTTGGTATTTAGCTCTTCAAGACCAAGTGGGGAGGGGAACCTTATTGAAAACGGGTTATCTCTGGAGAGCTGGGCCCCTCCCCACCCCAGCAGGAGGAATTTGGTGAGTCTGAGAAGCAGTGGAGAATTTGGCTTCTGGGCAGAATACGCAAGGATGCTGTGCAAGGGTTCTAGGAGCAGGAACCTGGAGACAGTTTGGACCCGAAGCACAGCTGATAGAGTTCTTATTAAAATCCTTCATCTCACCCCTTCTCACATAATCACAGAGGATCTTTATTGTTCTTCCTCTTGTGCATTGCGCTTGGGGCTTTTGTCTTTGGATTCTCACACTATTTCTGTGAAGGGGGTACTATATCCCATTACAGATAGAAAACTGGCTCAGAGAGATTATGTGGTCACCTAGCTCAAGGTAACACAATGATTGGGAACACTGGTATCATTCATTAAGTGTCTACTCCCGGAACTTTTATCACTTCCCAGCTTTGTTATTTAGAGAGTACTGCAAAACGGGTAAGGACTTTGCATACTGGTTAATCTAATACTCTCAAAAATTCAATAAAATCTAAGTATGCCTACCATACCACTGAGGGAACTGAAGGTCAGAAATGGGTGGTGAGTGGGTCAGACATGGGTGGTGAGTGGCCTGAGGTCATTCGGAGAGTGGAGAAGACAGGACATGACCCCTGGCTCCAAAGCATTCACTGCCTTCCTCATGACATGCTGGGTCAGCTTTCCCACAATGCTCACAGAGAACTCCAACCCCTCAGCAGTTATTAAGTCCTGACAGCCACTTCCTGGGGTGACTGAAAATTTAAAACACTAGAAAAATAAGGTCTGATGCATCTGGGAACTTCAAACTTAGAAATCATTTCCAGACAGGCTGATGGGACCCAAGCAACAGGACAGCATACATCTTGTGTGTTTCTAAGCCCCTTTGAAGGTACGTTCATGGGGACAATTGGCCTTGCCCTTGGCAGACTTCTTGTACAAGATCACCCAAGGAAGGTGAACTGTCCTTTAAAACAGGCAGGCCACTGTGGCCATTCTGGAAGCTCTATCTCTGTCATAGGAATGACGAGATTGGGACATCCTGGGATCAGGACCAAGTAGGAGGAGCTCAAGATCTCTAGAAACGCTGTAGCCACGACCCAATCTCAGATTAACTGCCCCCAGCTCAGGGGCCTGGGACAGAGGCAGATGCTCAGCTAGGTTAGTCCAGGCTCCTGCCCCCGGAGCCCTAGCACAGCATCCTTCTGTACTGTGCCGAGAAGTCTACTCCACCACTGCTCAGACTCACCAGAGCTTACTAATGGGGAATCTCTGTTGCTCCTACCTGTGACCAAGTGGAACCTGTCACCACTAACCCCAACCCTGACCCACTGGAATTAAACACTTGACTTGTCATGAGTTCCTGTGGTTCTGCCAAGCCCTTTCTAACGGCAAATGAAAGGTGTTTCTATTTGCATGGAGGTGGGGGTTGAAAAGAAAGGGAAATGATTGGGTTTTGGTTCTTTTCCTTCTCTCCCTTCATAACACTATTGAAATGTCACACTTGGCCTTCTTTCCCATGGAGAGTAGTGCAACACACAAGCCACCGAGGACATGGTGATGGGACCACAGACTCACGTCTTTCCCAACAGAAATGAATGCAAAGAGCAGATTTCCAGAGGTTCCCTTTGCACCTTCAGGCCCAGTGCCCAAAGAATGACAGAATCCTATCGATCCAGCAGTGGGGACCTGGGAAAGGTGTTAGAGATTTCTGAAAAGCAGGGAAATGACACCCAATATAATCCAGTTTAAAAAGCAGAGGCTTGAGCCAGATCTCAATTTGAATCTCAGATCCATCCTTCAGCTTGCGTAATCTTGGCCAAAAGATACTAGACCTCTCTAATCGTTTTAACTCATCTATAAATAGGAGATGGAATCTCCAGGTTTGTTGTGAGGACTACCAGATATAGTCCATGTTAAGAGGTACCAACCACTTCCTTCCTTCACACACCCTTTAGGACAATCTCTCCTTCCCTCAGCTGAGCCATGCCTGGGTCCAGCTTGGGTCAGGTGTCCACCACTGGCCCAAGCAAATCTATGAACTAAAAGATGGCTTGGAGACTTTAGACATATTAGAGGATGCTGAGAAAGCCAAGCCCAGAAAAAAAAGAATAAAACAGACCCATAAAGAAGCAAACAGATTACAAACCCCACACAAAGGGCAAGAATGGTTCCAGATGGGACTTTGGGCCTGTGTGGGATGCACCCATCTATGAGCCTTTATATTCTGGATTAGACTGGTTTGAGTTGGCCTCTTTCTGGCAACCAACAGAGACAGTCCCCAAACAGAGACAGTATGTGAAGTACTTTACTTAAGCACCTGCTATGACTCAGGTGCTAGACTCATGGCAGCTATTATTTCAAAACATCTCACTCGAAATTTACTGCTATGTGCTTAATAGCTACTGAAGCTACTAACATAAGCAGATACGCAGTGGGACTACCTGAACGGCTTATGGCCTTAAATTAACCAAACTAGCTATAGAGTTTCATGAACAATTTCTATGGCCACTGCAGATGGAAGCTTCGGACACAGAACATTCCCTTTGTTTTCCTGTGTAAGTCTTTCACATTAAATAAACGCCTCCTTGACTAACGGAGAAAAAATAATTATAATATTCCATTGGAGCTGAGAAATAAAGCAACCTTTGTTTATTTTTTAAAAGATAAACATGGCTGATCTGTACTAATCAGAACATTCTGAAGGAAATAAAACACTATTCAACATTTTTAGTCTACAAATAAATAATACCCTGTTTTACTTATTCTGTTAGCCAAAGAAAAGTTGGAAATGAAAAAACTGGATACTGCTTATGGATTTAAAGGTATTAGATACAGTATTTGATTCTGAAGAAATGAAGACATAAATGGAAAAAATGGCTATAGCAATTAATTTAGTAATGACATTTAAAAGTTTATACATAAACTGTACATGCTTGACTTGACAGACTAAAACATTTTTCAAGTCCTTAATTACGAGAACAGCAGCAAAACTTAAGACAACTAAAAATTGGCATTTAAGAATCTGCTGTATTGTTATGAATAAACGTTTAAGACAACTGTATCAATGAAGCCCAAGAAAATCCCAATTACTAACCTCTTCAAGCCAGCGTGCGCTGACTCTACGTTTCACTTTCGAATGTGCTCCCTTGTTCTGGGTTTAAACTGTACCTTTTCATCCAACAGCCTGAAGAGCACTGGGGTTACACTGCACGGCTGCAGAACCAGGCTCCCCGCATTACGGTCACAGCACAGAAATGACTCCCTCTGTCATTAAAACAGCAAAACCAGGCTCAAGTGCACACCTTCATGGTGTAATACATCATATATCAGAATTATAAATTACAGAAATAAAGACAAATAATGGCATGCAGGGCGTGATAGTTTATTTTTAAAAATTGTACCACACTGATCATGACGACCAGCATACACATTATGATGGCTTTTCTCTTGGGTATTAACATTGCAGTATTTTTATATACTGAAATGTTTCAATAGGACCAAGAACGTTAGAGAAATAAAGATCTTAGAAGAAAATATGGACACTAATAATTAATTTAAACCCCTCATGAATCAGTGGCATTATAATGTTATGTAGTTATGAAGAACAAAACTTCTCTTCTACATAGGCAGCATGAACTTCTACTTCCTTGTATTTTAATCTTTCATTTTTATAACTTAAGCTACGTCCACGCTGGCTAAAGCAGAAACATACAAGACACCTCAGATAATTTCCATGCTACCATTGCACAAGTTTAGTGATTTTACTTAAAAAAAAAAAAAAAAAATCAAACCACCATCAAAATAAAGAGGCAAATAAAAGTGATTTTCAAATCATTTGAAAAGCATAGTGCTTATTTGTCCAATACAGACTTGAACTTAAATTATATGCTATAATTAATTGATCTCCAAATTTCTGTAATAAAATTAACATTTATATATATATGGGTTTTGTTTATAGAACTGTATTTCACAATCAACAAGAGAAAGTGACCTTTTAGAGAAAATATATTTGGTTACAGTTCCACGTATCTGTAGTAGAGACAAAGCCACATGATGTTAAATCTGGCTCTAGATACCTAAGGTATAAAATTTTGATCAAAATTATGATACTCTGATCTTAAAAATTCAACCCATGTGAAATTACTTTTTAGAATAAATGTGCTGTTGACTAATCTTTTCAATAACCTTTCCTTTTCATGACTATCTGCAAACTGACCCTTTTCTTCAATCAATGTGACTCACCAAATATTTCAAACTGACCTCTTTACTTCTGTGTTACCACTTCAATACCCAGGGATTTCTGAGGCAGCATAAGTTTGACTTCATAAAAACAGTAGATACTTTAATCTTTCAGTGACAGTTTTTAAATGTGTAAACTCAAGAATCACATTATTTAGTTCAGCAACTATAAAAACATTGAGATTTTGGCATTTCAAGCCAGAATCTCTTTGTGCTTTTTAAATTAAGCTGCTTTTGAATCTTTTTGGTATTTATCAGCCATTTGTATTTCCCTTACAATAATAAAAGAGCATATTTAAAATAATTTTTAAGGTTAAATGTCCTGGGGGCTTATCAATGCTTAAAAAAAAAATTACTTTTTTCTTTCAGCATTTGGAATAGTAGAAATTGTTTCTGGTCCCTCCTTAGATCAACCAACACTACTTTTCATCACGTATAACACTGAATTTTACAGACATCCCTGAAAAGTTTTTGATTTAAGTAAACGAGTGAATCACAGTGGAGTCTCAATCAGTTAACAGTGTAGATCCATTTAAAAAAAAAAAATCACACTGAATATTAAAAGAAAATCTCCAAGCTAAAAAAAAAAAAAGAAAGGAAAACCCTCCTAAGAACTAAAACCAGGTATGTGTCGTCACTGATTCTGTGCTTGTGTCCCCAACTGATTCGACTCCTCCTTCTCCGTGTTATAAGACATGTTCCTTCAAATCTCCACACCAAGTTTCCAGGACACTTGAGGGAAGAGGCTAGACTACCATCGCATCTAAGGGAGTAGAGTGGCACCGTTTTCTTCCCTGATAGACTTCATATCCAAAGATGAGCATCGAGTCTCCCTTTGCTGTGCTCACCAGCATGTATCAGGAGACAAAACTTGCTGTGCACTCTGATGACAGCTGACCCTCCCACCCCACCCCCAGCGCCACTACGAGGTTACTAGCAGTCTGTCATTGTATGCGCTGGCCTTTCACTCTTTCAATCAGAAAAGTTGTGATTACTTAAAAAGGGGAGGGGGGGGCAGGGGCGAGAAATGAAAAACCAAGAGTCTAAAGGCACAAAGTCGCATAGCTGCTCTAGTTGGAGTTTGTAAACAGAGAACAGGTTGAATTGGGGTAATCCCGATCTATGAGTAAAAGGCATCCACAGCAGGCTTTTGTCCAGCCAGCTTCTTTGAGACCCTTCATGGGTTTTGAGGTCTACAAAGTATGCACTAAAATACCCATACTTCAAAAAGCAATAAGGCAAATAGTATAATCATTATTCCAAAAGTTACAATGGTAGTGTAGGCATACATAGTATAATTTAGTTACAAATGTGGTACTGTTTCTATTATATAACCATATTAACTGTTTCTTTCCTACATAATTATATATTCAGCCGAGTTTCAGTTGAACACAAAACCATCCTTGTACCACCACTGCTAGTTGGCAAGAGCTCTTTGATAGCAGTTTTTATTCTGCTGCAGAAATTATCCTTGAATTGAAAAAAAGTCCACAATCCGATGTCCGGTCATTAAACACTATCATATTTGTGAAGAGCTTCTTCCAACTTCTGTGTCACTTTTTGGAAAAATATTATCTGTTGTTGTAAGAAATGCTGCATCTGCGATTTAAAGTCTCTTACTCGAATTTGATGGAAGTGGTGAATTTCAGCCAAAGTGGCAAAAGATATAGTGTTACAGCGATCCTGAATGCCATCAGCCTTCTGGAGCTCCATCTTCCCTTCTTCCACGTGTCGCCTACTCTCCTTCACTTTGGTAAGAGCTCCTGTAGTTAAGAAAAAATGAATTAAAAAAATATATACATGTATTCCAATGGCACAGCTACATAGTAAACAGACTCTTAGGCACTATAAATACTTGCCTAAACTATTTCGAAGTCCTTTGGAATTCAAAGGAATGACTGTAATTACTTATTTTAAAAAAAGGAATCTGGTAAAGTTTCTGAAAACATCTCCATGACTGAAATTTCACTTATCAAAACTACAGTTCACCATTGATCAAGCATCTACAGTGTGTTTCATCTCTTCCAAGTAGAGATATTATAATTAATAGATGATAAACTGCAAGGAATTGGCCCTAAAAAGGCAAATCAAGAAAACTCTACGGTTTTCACATTCTTAAGAGAAAAGGTGTGACACTATTACATATACATACATATTAGAGAGTTATCTAAACCACAGATATAAAACAATACCCCACAGAGGATGGGAGCCCACTTCCTGAGAAAGTCTCACTGGAGAATTACTGTAGAAGACTCCAGACTAGATTCTGAAACGTGTTAGCGCCAACTCAGGTTGTGTTTTGGGAATCAGGGCATGTCCCGGAGGGGGCTTGCCAATGTCTGTGGTGTACACTTGGAGGCCACCCTCATTGGTGCTGGCAAAGCCCATGTCTTGTTGGTGACGAAGGGATGAATAATGCATGCATGCCTGCTTCTGACCCCACAGTCTATCAGGAGACCCATACTGGAGCATACGGGGCCCTGTGAAGTAAGGAGTCACCATTTTTCCTTAAGGGGCTGTAAGGAGCAGTGAGTTCTGAGTCTGCCCTAATGAGGACCTGGGAAGGAAGCTAGAGGTGCCATAGCCTCCTATCAAGAAATGTCATCACAGGATGCGTGCGGGGAAGAGGGAAGGGAACAGTCACTCAAGCAGGTGCCACATGAGGGCAAACATTCATTAAAGCGTAGTCACACGACGACGCAAAAGGCCGAGGATGCTGACAGACAGGAAATAAGGGATATTCGTGGCTTCTTAGAATAAGTGATGATAAAGTACAAATCACTTGATCACAGCCAGCTTGAGAATTTGGATTTCCTGACTCCATCTAACGCTCATTCTACTAAACCATGATGAAAGACAAGAGAAACATCTAGGACACCTGACTTGGCAATCTGAGAACATGATGATACTAAGGGGGGAAAAAAAGGTAGCCTGTTTAGGAGGTGGTGGGGAAGCTGAGGGACTTTGTTTCAGAAATGGTCAGTTTTAGCTAATAGTGAAATATACAAGGGAAAAAGCCCTATTTTTAAATTTCTTCAAATCTCCTACAAAATAATATAGAGTAAACCTAGTATTAAATAAAACCCTCAGAGGTCAAACAGTGTACTTTTTTTTTCAGGGGAGGGGGGCACAGTTCAAAGACCTGAGAAATTATAACCCACCAACAAATGTTAACATACATATGAATGTATGTGTGTATATTTCCATCTATTTATTCTCAATGAGATCTTCAAGGGAAAAACATTAGAGCCCTGGGGCAGAGAGAACACCCCACTTCCACTTAACCCCACAGCAGGGATGTGGGGTCTGCCCCAGTAGAGAGAGGTCGTTTGCATTAACATACCTTCAGGAAGACCCCTTACCAATTCCATTACGAAGCCATCACTCTGAAAGTATGGCACTTTTTTCTACTATGGCTGATAGGACTAGTGAAGCAATAGAATCTGCCTGCTTGTAGTTTATATTAAAAAGAGAAAAAGAAAGAGTTCTCCCCCGAAAAAAGAGAAAAAAATTTCTTGTAGCAAATTTATCTTTGTTATACTTGTACAAGTTTCACAATTTATATACAAAAAAAGAAGTTGAAAAGACAAGGAGAGCATATGAGACAGAATTAAAGGAAAAATTTTTCAAAAAGATGACTGAGAAATGAAATATGATCAAAATGGTAAGAGACAAAGAGAACGAACAGGAAGTTAAGAGGGAAAAGTCTCAGGTGATTTGATGATTTTTTCATCTGATTCCGATCCAAGGTGCCCGAGCCCAGAGTGGACCAGCATCCTCCCCTGCCCAGGTTCCCAGGCATCTGCGTGGCACTTGTTGCCTGCGTCAGTAATACTCTGCAAGGATTACTGTTCTGGTTCTGAGCGCCTGGCTTTTCCGATGGAGAAGAAAGTCCACCACAGAGGAGCTCCGAACCCCGGCCCAGGGCTGTGTGAGGGTCAATGAGGTTGCAGCGTGTCAGACTGCAGATGAGATGACCATATTCTCAGAAACTACGTTCTGTTCTACACAACTGCGGACGTGCGTCTACAAAAACCAATTTAACAACGAACAATGCAGTGAAAACTTATCATATCAGCATACATTCTCGAAACTCTTGGACACAGCAGCAAAAAACAAATTTCTCTGAGGCTCAAAGACCTTTTGGCATTTAACACCTTTTTTCACGTGTACAGATGAAAGGAGCCAAGGAGAATTTAAGACTCGTTTTTTCCCCCAAGTACGAATTTATTTAGTAAATAATACTCATGTTGCTGTCTTCAAAGTCCCCAAAATGTTGGGCTCTGGGGCAAGAATTTTAATCCGTTTAACAACCATTGATGCAGGGACTAACGGGTACTGAGCACATTGCTAGAACATGGACGCGTTCAAGTCCCCGCCCTCCGTACGTTCTGGAGGAAGCCACCTCACAAAGCACACTGAGAACAGCGCACAACCGTGACACCAAGTCAAACAGGACCACAGAGCACGTAATTCCGCGTGGGAGCTGAATCTGGCTTTCTCCAAGATGACATGAGAATTGTGTCACAAGGAGAAATGCTCAGAGGACCTGCTACATGGCTGGCACTGTGCTGGGGTGGGGGTGGGGAGGAAACAGGCATATACAACTAGTTAGTGGTGGCTGCCAAAAACAGTAATAATATATGCTAGGCACTTTCCGTATACATCTCTAACGCTACTGCAGCTTCACAACGGACATTACTCCTATTTTCACAACAGGGAAGCTGAGAAAGCTTACCCAATCTCTTTGAGCCTCAAAGTCACCCGATAACCCAGTAAGAGGCGAAGATGAGATCTGAATGTGTAACTGACTAAAGCAAAGACTACAAATATTTAGATAGAAACTGGAGCCTGAACTGGCGAAAAGGCAAGGTGGGCCTAGGAGAGCAGGGGGCTGGGGGACAGAGGCCGGGCAGCGGAGCATCAGCTATTACCTCTCCTCCCCTTGCCCACCGGCCTCGCCCCCCCCCCCACCCCGCACCCAGGCACCGCCCTTCTCCCTTCTCACTTTCCTCATGAGGTCTAAGCTTTTCTTCTGACAAGCAATTCAGAAGGCCTTGTGAGTATGTAAAAGAAACTATATAGGTTTTGAAAATTTCCCTCTGGAATCTTACTAACCTCATTCAATTTACTAATTGTGCCTGTAAAGCTTTTGACAGAAATTAAGAACTACCACCAAAAACAGTAACATGCAACCCCTTCAGGAACACATGGGCTTCGCCTCTCTTTGCTTTGGTACAGTTGGACATCCCAGCACAAAAAAAAAATCACTTTATTTCGCCAACGAGGAAGGACAGAATAAACCACGGAGGAGAGTAAGCACCCAAAAGCTAATTCCACTTGGAATTTTGGTTTAACCCACTTAATGTAATTCAAATACATTAGCATAATGATTTAGGATTGCAGTAGCAGGGAGAGAGGAGAGATAAGATAAGATAAGGGCTCAAACTATTTTTTGAGGTGGCAAGACTTACATGCCTGATACAATTAAGGACTTAGACAAAACAGCATAGGAAGGTATTAAACAGCATACTATAAAAGGACAAACTCTGCTAGAACAGTGAGTGCAAAATGAAATCAAGAAAGATTGTGGGGGCTAGCTCAATGGAGCAGTGGTTAAGTTTGGTGCTCAGCTTCAGGCGGCCTGGTGTTCATGGGTTCGGATCTGGGGCACAGACCTACACGCCATTTGTGAAAGCCACGCTGTGGCAGCATCCCACATACAAAACGGAGGAAGATTGGCACAGATGTTAGCTCAGGGTGAATCTTACTCAAGCAAAACAGAGGAAGATTGGCAACAGACGTTAGCTCAGGGCCAATCTTCCTCACCTAAAAAAAAATACCAAAAAGAAGAGATTATGTCTCCACAAAACTGTACCCATGAATTTAGAGCAAATTAAAAACCACCACCATCTCTTTTATCTGAAATGTAGCTGAAGTGATTTTCTCCCAGATCCAGCTTCAGAAGAAAGATGATTAAAGCTGATAAACAATAATAAAAGCTGATAGCAATACACTTTTTAAAAACTCCTAAGAGTTCTTGAATATACCCTGAGTTGAAGAGACAGCAGCGCAGGTCCTTCTGTAAGAGTACAAGCCACTGGCTGTTCAAGTTCAGAATGACAACCCCAAGGGCCTTCAAAATCCCAAGCCCCAAAAGAAGTTATCTATCATAAAATATTTTGAAAAGTTTTAAAATATACTATTTCCTTTAAGAAGAGAATCATTTTTAAAAAATCTTCATCTCACAACCCTCCAGTTAGTTTTTCCATATACTTTTTAACAAACAGTAAGGATTTAGCTGTTTTCTTTCTTATGAGAAAGACAAAGTCAAATTATTCAATAAGTTAATCATGGAAGTTAACTGACCAGTTTACTGCCTGGGAGTAAACAGAAAAAAAAAAAAAGACACCTTCTTAAGAGCTCCAGCTCTCCATCTGAACACATCGCAGGGTGTTTAAACACTTGGCAGCTGACAAAGAGAACCACCCTCTGGAGTTCTGGAAGCTTCTCTCTACCCCACCTCTTCCCACTGCACGTCTAAACTCTGGGTTCTCTCAAGACAAAAGCGGGAACATATTTTTCCAATAAAATATTACAAACATTGGTTAGACACAAGTGGAATAGTATTATTAGAACTAGAATTCAGGTTTTATCTCAAATGGCTGTGTTCTCATAGCCGATTTGACAATTCTCAAACTGGGAATTATCTGTCCATGTTTCTACACTTCACATATTTTCATATTTAAAATTTTACATATCC